TTAAACATGAACCCTGGGAGGCCTTCGGAGACGAGGTCATGCCTCAGTTCGGGAGCGAATTCCGGCTTTGTGGCTGCTGAGTTGCATGATTCTCAACCGTTATCGTCCTCCATATACTCTGGAATATCATGGTGCAGGTGATCCTAGACAATGCTGCGACGTTCTGTAACAAAACTTGTGCGTCGCTTTGCTGTCTCAGTCGAGTCTGAAGACATGGCCGGGACTCGCTGCAGTGATTGGCCCAATTGGCTTGTTGACAGGTTGAACACACAACCTACTGAAATATATGATGCTGGCTCCCCATTGATGAAGTGCTGGACCCTCGGTTTGCTGCTTGGTCCGACAACCTTGATCCCAAAAGACTATTGGAGATGTCGAGTTGTGGCTTTTGACTGGCTAACCTCCGAAGCAATGTAAACCTCAGCAATTATCCGTGCATCCCGTACATCCATGAACCCCAAAGCCCATCCAGCCCCGAACTCTTAATCGAAGCTTCGGCTTCGGCTCCGGGCACATTGCTGACGATGCTGCACCTTGAGCTCAGTGCAAGAGCGCAAGTTGAGCACTTTGCGAATCGTACTTGCACAGGCAAACTGCGGCAAACAAGCAGAGATCATTTTGAAAACTCGTCGCAGCTGCCACTCGGACGATGACTGGCCCACAGGCGAGGACAGGTCTCCGAAAGAAATGGGCAAGTCGCTGATTGATGGCCCGCATCACTCATGAGAGAGGCCTAAGACAAGCACTAGTCCATCAAAAGCCGTAGCCCGCATCAAAACTTGGAGCAGTCGTAGGCCGCGGTCTCACTCAACACCACTGTTGCTGCTGCTGTACCCAGCATCCACGGCACCGTCAACGTTCGGATCTTCTCCTGGGACCCCGGCCCGCTCCACATCGCTGAGCTCCCGCGAGATCTTGGCCCTCTTGCGCTGCATGGCACTCAACTCACCTAGGCTCGGCACTCTGTCAAAGGACAAGACAAGAAGTCACAAGCAGGTTGATGAGTCTGATTCAATCAAATGCCAACGGGTCACGCTTCGCCATGTGGATGTCCCGATCCAAATCCATCATGATAGCAATCTTGGATTTGTGAGTCCTGCACTGCAGGAAGTTGGCCCAAGTCGTCTGCATATCCACCGTGAAGCTGACCTTCCCCAACACACGGGCATTGGATTCCCATGTACAGTCGCTCGGAATGTTGCAGTAGTCACTCATCGGGGTGTTGGTGCGGACGACGGAGCCGGGCATCACGTCGCTGCTCTGCTTCAGGATGGCCACATCTGTCTCCACTCCAAAGCTCATCCAGAATCCCCACAAAGTCGCGGTGTTCGGGTCACCGAAGAAAAGCTCCCACGATGGCTCGGCTGGCTCATCAGGATTGGCTTTCCTTTTATTGGACTTGGCCACACAGTTTTTCAAGATGCACGATTTCACTTGGAACTGCCTCTGTGCAGAGTCCAACTTGTAGAAGTTCCACACCTTGATGTCCGGGCCTGAGCTCCCAATGCAAATCAGCCCAAGAGCAGGTATGAAAGACCCTTCCTGCTAGATTCCTTTGCAGGCCAAGTTGCCGTTGTCGTTGGAGATGTGCATGGTTGTCACCCAAGTGTCGATTTCCAATCTGGAGTCCGGGGACTGTAGCAGAAAGAGGGGGATCAGAATCATCTCTCCGTCGTACTGCACACAGCTTTCTTCCCAGAGCTTCTGACGGTTTTCCTTTGGAATGACGACCTTAAGAATCCTGAACGTACGCCTGCCGAGCAGATCACTCATGCCCGACTCACTCGCCCTTCGTTTCTTTGCCGACGCGGGCTCGCCTTCGCTCATCTTGTATCCCAGCCTTGTAAAACAAACAGACAGGCCGGAGCATTCGTCACCAACATGACTCTGCAGCCAAAGCACCCCCTCACCATGGATCTGAACTCCTTGGCCACCGCCAAGGCGACCGAGGGGTAGAAGCTGATGTTCTGCTGCTTCATAATCGAGGGGGAGAGGAGGTCGACATTCATAGGGAAAGCTGCGAACCCGGTAGAGTCCATGCTGGCCGGCAGAGTTGCGAGTAGCGTATGGAGCGTCGGAAGGATGCTTCGAGAAAAATCTTCACATTACGTCGGTTAAGCCTGCACCGCATGTGTTGACATGTTGGCAATGCCATCCCACGTTGTGAGCCCTATTTGTCATGTGCACGTTTGCGCATCCGTCATGTGAGGATTCAAAATCACACGGACGAATCACCAGGGGGCAAGTCTCTGGCACAAACAGGTATAAACCTCTAATGCTTGTTCAGCCTGACGTGATCGCCCATGTGATGGCTAAGGAGAGGCAGCGGCGACATCCGTCTCAAAACTTGCCGCCTTCGGGCTCTCCAGGCTTTCACTGCTCCTCGTCGTCAGTGATACCCGAGGTATCGGAGGAGCACCCGCCGCCCTCGTTGTCGCCATTCTGCTCTGTCTTCTGTTTCTTGGAACCCGTCGGCTGGATCTCACTCTCGTCCGCTGTCGGGACGTCACCTGCCAAACTGGTTTCCCTGCGCAATTTTCGGCCCCAGTCACGGGAGCCGGAGCAGATGTCCGAGACGATCCGATAGGCGAGGACCTCTCGGATGAGCTGCCGATGTTTTTCGCTCAATGCTGATGTCCTGTACTTGTACTTGTGGCGCAAGGCAGCCAGAGCTGCGTAGCCCTGGTCAGCGGTGTGATGGTAAATCCTCAGCCGCAATTCTTCAACAACTGTGACTGGGCATGTCAAGATCACATTGCCTACAAGCCGCTCAAGTTGCCCAGCAGCTGCACCCATAGAGTGGAAAATCTCATCCCACACATTCTCTGGCCATTCCCATGGGAAAAGCAGATGGCCCTTGTCTTCCTCCTGCTCGCCCTCCAAGTCCGCTCCCTGCTCCACCGTTGATCCCGAGGCCAAGCAGGAGCGGGTGTCGGCCGTAACCCGCACTGGCTCCGGATTCAAGTTCAAACCACTGAAGCCGCGGCTCTGATTCCTCACTGCAGGATACATGTATGACATGTCAGACGTGCTATACTCTACACGAACCTGCCTGAAACCGTCGAGACTCGTCGACGGGACATCAAAGTGCTTGCGTGGAAGAACCGCCAGGCTCGCTTTGAAATCCTTGCCCATGATGCAGATCCCGGACTCCAGGTGGTCAGGACACTGGAGATTTGCAGAGGTAGCTCTCTTTCTCACAGCGCCGCCATCCATAAATTCTCCTCGAAGAGCAAAGAAAGTTTAGACACAAGACACACAGAGGTGCACAGCGGCCTGGAGGTAACATAAGCCCAGGAGCTGTTGTGGTAATGCAGCCTGAAGACTTCATACCTCCGAGCCGGCAAAATTTCCTTCGCCACAAACTTGATGTGAGCATTGAGCTGTTTCGCGACCTCTTTGTCGTACTTGCGGGATCTGCCGTCGAAGATGAGGGCTGCATCACATGATCGGAATTTGCTCTCGCCCTCCTTCGTCCCGAAGATATTGGCCATGAGGTTCTTCAGTTTGACAACATCAATCGCCGGCCCGAAACGGAACGGGTAGCGGATGGCATTCTCGCAATCCGTGATGGCCAGTGTCTTGCCTTACTTGTGCAGTATCCTATGGAACCGTGGAAACTCAAGATGAAGTGAAGATTTCTACTTATAATACCATTGACGGAGTTGCAGTCTATGATATGCAGGATGGCCAGCCCTCCGTCAGTGGCGTTCAGGTCAACGTCCAGGTTGCCTGCAACGATGTTGGCAGTTTTGGCACCTCGGTCCAGCAAACCGAGATTTCATTTTTTGCAGAAGACGTAGCATCGAATCGGAATCATCACGAACCGAGGCACTCGTGGTGGCCTGCAAGAGGGCCTTTTCCCAGGCATCGGCTGAAAGTCTGTCCAGCATGTCCTGCTGGCACCGGTTGAGGACCAGCATGCGGAAGGTTTCAGCTCGCGCCGGAGGGCCCTCTGCGGCAAAGGAGAGCGGCTCCTCCACCGGATCTGGCTCTGACTGGTCCGGCAGCGGCGCAGCTCCTGGTTCCTCCGCTTTCTGAGACTCAGGCTGTGAATCCGGCTTCACCTCCACGGCCGCAGCTGCCGGCGGGTCCGGTATCAACCAGGCTGCCATGTCCTTCTCGAGCAGCTCCACATCGATAGTGAATACGTCCTTGTTGGCCAGCACCCGCTCTGCCGGCACTAAGTAGTTCTCTGCCACCAGGGCGTCGATGGCCTCGTCATACTTGCCCGTGCCACTGAGGACCGCGGCTAAGAATTCAATGATCTCCTGGTCGCAAAACCAAATTCAAATAATGCCTGGCGTACAGACTACTACATCAGCAATTGGCCTGCATGAAATCCGGCAGCTGCTGGAGCCAACCAAGATGTGGCGCATCGCGGAAGATGGCGCCACAAAGTCCGCTCTCCAAGAAACTCTTGAAATTTGTAAACGTCTGTGTGAGGACCTGGCCAGCATGACTGGCACGCCCTGAAGAAATCGTACTGCAGCCAGCGACCTATACAGGCCTGGGCGGGAGACCGCCCCGGAACGTACTGCACCCCGTCCTGGAAACACCAAGATAAGTCTAGACACTAGACGCAAGTTGGCAGATAGCAAGGCTCTCCTTGTCTGCCGGCTTGAACCTGTTCACAAAGTAGGTAACGATGCGCCGCTTTGCCAGCGACCGGCCAATGAACGGAAGAAGTTCATGTCTTTTCAAGCCAGCATCCACCTGAGGCCGGCTGCCGGGTTTCTGGGCTTAGGACAGATATTGGTGACGCGAACCCATGAACCTTTGTCCGTGAAGGGACATGCCTCTGCCGCAGCAAACGTAAAAATATATGGCGACCAAGGACATGATGCAAAATATATATATATATATATACACATAGATAGATGTATAGATAGATAGATAGATAGATAGATAGATAGATAGATATCGAGATATTTTTAATTTCTAGATATATTATGTTTATACATATACCTGTAGGACTTCGCCTCCGCACAACACATCTAGACACATAACAAGATGCAACCGGCAGAACTAGCGGTAACTAGCGGAGTCCCGGAATAACATGAGTGGAAGCCTTCAAGACAGTGGCTCTGTACACGAAGTCCTGCAAGACCCAGAGGAGGAGGGAGTTGGCCTTGGGAAGCATGCTTTGTCTTTGCTCGTGTGACTCGCGAGAGCAAGGACCGGACCAGGGCAGGATTCTTCTGGCACGCAGTTCTTTGTGCCAGCAGCTCCAAGCAGCTCGTGTGAGCGAAGCTGTGCTTCGAAGGTCCAAGAAGGGAGTCCAGATGGCCAATGAGCTCCTGAGCTCTTAGTCTTGCAGAGACGACAAGGACATCACCTAAGAGCAACGGGACTGACCTGCAGCCGGTGCACCACTGCCTCCGGTGGGAACCGATCCCGAATCCGGAGGTACACGGAGACAACTTTGGGGCTCATAGCTTTCTTGGCACTTTTCAGCCACTCAGAAACGTCATTGGCCGTAGCTTCACGCCCTGGCCCTCTCAGGCTGTCAGAGATGCTGCTGATGGCGAGGACCAAATTAAACCCGAGCAAGGTTCTCTCCTCTGCCAGCAGGCCTAGGCCTTCATCCATCTCCCATTTCTTCATTTCGTAGCTTCGGTCGTCCACACACAAGAAAAAC